TGTGAAACAAGCTTGTTCCCTCACTTGAACTAATAAAAAAATAAAAAATGAAATATCTCACCAAGATATAAATTCAGCTGATTCTGATGTAGAATCATTTTCATGATTTCAAGAAGCAAGCTGCAAGCTACCTTTCTCTTGCCTTGTTTCATGATTAAATCATGATCAAGTGAATCTTTCCATTCATTCCTGAAAGAATCTGCTCATAAAGTCACAGGATTTCCATGTTTGGAACATTATATGCAACATAGTTACAACCTGGAAGACAAGACCCCCTAGACCATCTATTGTTCCATTCCCTTGAGGTGTTAAAGAAAGCAATTAAATGATTTTTTCTGATGTTACACTATTTTATGTTACATATGTATGTGTTTTTATTGATATGTAGTCATGGTATACTTTAAGAGCGTATTTGTGACATTTCAATAAATAGAAACAACATATGATGGTCATGTCTGGGTAACTGGCCTGTATGTTATCTCATACGGTCAGCATTGTGTTTTGCTCAGAACACTGAAAATCCTCACCACCTACTATGACATTTTTGAAGATGGAGTTACTGTTCCACTTGGTCCCACTCCCATTAGCCACAAAGAAACACAGAGACTTAAATATAAACTGTTTGGCCAATGACTTAAGCTTCTTACTATCTCTCTCTTAGTTATTAACCCATTTCTATTAAACTATGTATTGTCACAAGGCTATGACTTACCTATAATCCAGCATGTTACTCCTTCAGCAGTATGGTGTCTCTCTGTCTGTTTCTCTCTGCTTCCTCTCCCCAGAATGATGGGGGATGTCCTTCTGCATATATGTTTCTCTTATTTGTTGATGAATAAAACACTGATTTTCCAGTAGCCAGTCAGGAGGTATATGTAGGGCTATGGGACAAAGAGAATTCTGGGGAGAAGATTCTGGCAGAGAGGAGCCGCCAAGGGACACCATGTAACCAAAGATGCTGGAGCATTCTCAAGTAAGATGAGACCATGTGGAAATACTCGATTAACAGAAATGGGTGAATAATTAAAAGAGAGTTAGTCAATAAGAAACCTAAGCCATCCACCAAACAGTTTACAATAAATATAAGCATCTGTGTGTTTATTTGGGGCTAAATGGATGTGGGACCAGGCTGGACAGAAATAAACACACAGATGCTTATATAAATTATTTTCTTCTCAACAGCATATGAAATCTTAAAGACAGATCCTTTATCTGCTCAGAAGAGAGAACTCAAATTATAAAAGGACAAAATAAAATAAAAGAACAAATAAGAATCAGTATTATAAACAAACATATACAGTGTTCAAATGATATTTATCTTAGAGACAGTTTCTCAATACACATATTGGTAATTACAGTACAGTACATAGACACAAGAAGGAGGAAAATTAGGAAACATTAGATCCAGGGTAAACACACACAAACACACACACACACCAACTTTTTCAAACATCTTCACAAATAAAATGTGTACACCACAGACTGTTTGGCTCAAATATACATTTTTTTTAAATGATTACTATGTTTGACCAATTTATTGTCACTGTGAGAAGCTCCCCAAGAACACAAATCAAGTAAAGTAGAATTTACAAATGTCTCACAGATTCATTCTTTGCAGTTGAGAGATCAGGTTGCTGCCTGGACGTCAGAAAGCTTTAGCAGAAGGCTGTGCCTGCTTTGATTTCACATGAGAACTTGGGAGTGTGGCACAGCAGATCTTCCTCTCTTAGTTAATTCTGTCTAGGAGAAACACTCACAAAGATAGATCCAAATCTCCTACAATTTTCTCAAAACAACCAAGTTCACAATACAAAATACCTGTCAAATATATGAGTGTGATCACTTGGACATAGAAAGGAATTGTTTTGAGAAGATCAATTTGCAAAGGTAAGAAGAGGTGTTATTGTGTTAGATATTTTATGTATTGAGTCTCCCTAGCTAGAGAACTAAGTGAATTTCATACTTAGATGACCCCACACTTAGGAAAATACAATTCTTTTATGATAAGGATATTTATCATGGGAAATGGCAAGCATGAACTCTCAAGGAGCACAGGCCATGGAACAGGAGTTAGTTGGACAAATTAAAGTGAATAACTTGGTGACAAATTTTGGATTTTCCAATCCTTCCTCCACCAAAGCATAGATGACTTGATCCATGGACGGAGAAAATGCCTCCTTAAGGGGAGGGATGGAGGAAGGGAAGAAGGGAGGGAGGGAGGGGGCAGAGAGGGGAGTTGATTAGTGTGGGGAGAATTGCTCTATGTCTTCTGAGATGCTTGAAAGCATCACTTCTAAGTAAGGGCACTGCTCTATTATGCTGAAAACCAATTATGTCATCACAGACTGAAAAATGTCTCAGTGATAAATGCATTCCCCACAGGGAGACACTATCCATAGGGTGTTAACAGCCTGATTTCTCATGTTTTGACTTAAAAACAGGAAATGTTTTTGAAAATAAAATGTGTTGAGCTTAGTAAAAAAGAAAACAGAAGAAAATAAATCTCTCACTTTTCTTGTTGAAGCAAAGAACCCTTCTGTTTTAATAATACTTAGCTGTATACAAACTGAAATTTATTAATTTCAATGTACAGTATGTCTTCAAATGCAGAAGACAACATGGGGAGGCACCATGTGACAGACTCTAGTCTGGTTACCTTTCCGTCAAGTGGTGCCTCCCTGGTACCTTTTTAGATGTTCCCAACAGACTCACAAAGTGACAGGATATAGCATTCATCCTCCTCTCTTTGATAGTACTTTGTGTCAAAGTACATAACAGTTTGCAGTCAAAAGGCATTTTCTCTTTAATTGAGCATTTATTTTTTAAATTAAATTTGCTTTAATTATTGATCTTTTTATTTTCATGTTACATACCAACCACAGTTCCCCTTCCCTCCCCTCCTCCTGCCCTCCCCACCCTTACCCTACCTCTTGTCCATGCAGGCCTCAGAAAGGGTAAGGCCACCCATGGGGAATCAGCAAAGCCTGGCATATCAAGTTGAGGCAGGACCAAGCCCCTCCTGTCTACATCAAGGCTGAACAAGGAATCTTGCCATAGGGAATGCGCTCCAAACAGTCAACCCATGCAACAGGCAACAGGAATACATCCTGGACCCACTGTTAGGGGCCCCCACAAACAGACCAAGCCACAAAACTGTCACATACATGCAGAGGGCCTAATTTGGTCCATGCAGGGCCCACAGCTGTTAATCCAGAGTCCATGAGGTTCCAGCTATCTCTGTGCGTTTCCCTTCATGGGTATTGATCTCTGTTTTTCTCTGTTTCTCTCTCTCTCTCTCTCTCTCTCTCTCTCTCTCTCTCTCTCTCTCTCTCTCTGTGTGTGTGTGTGTGTGTGTGTGTTTGAAGGTAAGAGCAAAAAGAGGGAAAGCCATTTGCAAGCATGATATTATAGCCTCCAATGTTGCTTGCTTTGGACTGGCAAAAGACTATGCCTTTTAGCAGATCACTGATGAGGAGGGGGGTCACAGTACAATACCATACTTGGCTATTGGTGGACTGTGGAAAAGAGACAATCATTATCTTTACTTGAGTGCCCAAAAGAGAATCCACCACTCTCTTTTGATATTTAGAAACACATGGCCAATACAGGGCCCTGTTTGAATTCAATGGATCACAAGACAAAATATAGAGATAAAAATTTTGGAAAAGCAGTCTGCTGAATTATTGGTGATATCAGTTTCATGGGAAGGGAAAGTAAATAGCTTAAAATAGGTTCCTAATGCTGAGCCATGTTCTAATTGATAGTTTCAAACTCATTTCTGGTTAAAATTAGTGTATTACAAAGCAAATAATTTTTTACACATTCTGCTCATGAAGACTAATTTATATATAGTATAACACATATACACAAAACACACAGAATGTGACACCACTTTAGTGCAATAAATTGTTTATTGAATGCCTGGCACAGCATTGTATTCTGAACTCTTGATTGTATTTATACTATTTTCTCTTGAATAAATTATATTCTTAAATTGAGAGATTTACAAAATGTCACTCTTTTCTTTTCATGGTAGCCAAATTAAAAGCAAATAAACAAACAAATAAAAAGCAACAATAACAATTAAAAACCAACTCCTTTAAAATGTTTCATTTGAGCTGGGTGTTGGTAGTGCACACCCTTAATCCCAGCACTTGGGAGGCAGAGGCAGGCGGATCTCTGTGAGTTCGAGGCCAGCCTGGTCTCCAGAGCGAGTGCCAGGATAGGCTCCAAAGCTACACAGAGAAACCCTGTCTCGAAAAATAAAAAAAAAAAAATAAAGAAATAAAAAAATATAAAATGTTTCATTTGTTGTTCTTATGTGCATATGTAGTGTTTCCGGGGTGGATTCACAGCTCAGTGAAGTCAATTTTCTCCTTCCACATTTCCTTTTGGGTCAGGAGATCAAATTCTGATAATCAGGCTTACATTGTAAACACTTTATCTACTTAACTATCTCACCAGCATTTTGGTTTCTTTTTTTTTTCCTTTTTTAAATTATAATAACAAGAATCCTCAAAAGTCCCATCATGCATTTTAGATTTCCTTTCTTTCAAGAGTCTTTGAGTACTTTCTGTCTTCATTCTTATATACTGGCCATCTACTTACCTCAAACACTAACAACATTAGATTTTGCATTGTCATCGTGGATATATCTACTTTTTTATCACACATGTTCTTTGAAAGTTTCTGCTATATGAGGTGTCATACAGAAGGGGGATGTGGCAATTATATTACATAATATAAGGTATCCCCCATGATATATATCTTTTATTATTTAAAATGAGATTGTAAATTAAAATATCATTTCAGTTTGGGGGATGGAATACAAATAACTAGTGAATTCTCTGATTTATTTCTAAAAAGTGAATACAAAGAACAGGGAATTCTATTTTAAAAAGGTCCATTTCTGTTCAGTTGAAGAAACTAATTATTAATTTCAATGTGATACATGACTTAATCTCTCTAAAACTCCTTTACTAATGCCAGGGTCAAAGTTCTCAAACAGATGAATGGAGTAATTTAATATTCATTATTTTTCTGATTGTCTCCTTCACATCTTTATTCCTCAGACTGTAAATTGGGGGGTTGACCATGGGGATCACCAGTGTATAAAACAAAGAGGCCACTTTAAATGTGAGCTTTGAGTTCTTTGAGTTTGGCACAGAGTACAGAAACAGGATTGTGCCATAGAAGATGGTGATGGTAGTCAGGTGTGAAGCACACGTTGAGAATGCTTTGTGGCGCCCTTTGGATGATTGCATCTTGAGTATGGTAACAAGGATAAACACATATGACAGGAGGATGATGAAGAGAGTACTGAGAGCATTCACAGTGGAAAGTGAGAACAGAAGGATTTGGTTCACATGAGTGTCTGAGCTGGAGAGGGCTAGAAGGGAAGAGAACTCACAGAAGAAGTGATCAATTCTGTTGAAACCAACAAAAGATAACTGGAGAGCAGAACATGTCATTGTCAAGGAGCATGTCAGTCCCCATGCATATGATCCCACCACCAGACAGATGCAGAGTTTCTGGGACATGGTGACTGTGTAGAGTAGTGGGCTGCAGATGGCCACAAACCGATCATAGGCCATAACCACTAATAAAATGGATTCAGTTACCACGAAGACAGCAAAGAAAAAGTATTGTACTATGCATTCTATAAATGAGATGGTTCTGTCTTTTGCAACAATGTTCACTAGAATCTTGGGAGCGATAACAGAGGAATAACAGAAATCTACAAAGGAGAGGTGGCTGAGGAAGAAGTACATGGGGGTATGGAGTTTGTTGTTAATCCTGATGATGAGGATCATGCCAATATTGCCTACCACAGTGATGCTGTAGATGGTGAGAAACACCAAGAAGAGAGGGACTTTCAGTTCCGGGTAATCTGAGAAGCCCAAGAGGATGAACACAGCCCCACTAGTATTTCCATATGTCAATGACATGGTTTCTTTTCTGCAGAATATGGAATTTATCCTAAAACAATAAAATAGAAATTAGGAAGTTGGAGGATTTTTTTTTTGCCTATGTAGCCTCACTATGTTATAGTTCTTAGATTAAAAAGAAATCACACTTTGAACATCTCCATTTTGATCTGCCAGAGATCACAAATCATTTTTAAAGCTTCTCAAGGGCAATATAATTTTTCAGTTAAATTCTAAGTTGGAATATAAGTTTCATTGCTATTGTTGCAATAACATGTAATTATATTATCTTCATTTCTAGTTAATTTATACCTAATATAGTTAGCCTCTCATTTTCATTGTATATATTCATAAATTATTAGCCAATGTAATACATTATTTTTCAAACCACATTTCAATAACAACAATCTCAAATGCTTAAACCTATATCATATAATATACATTTAAATTATATATATATATATATATATGAATTGCTGTGTACATGTTTTGTTATCCCATGTTAGATTTGAAAATGATTTGTATCTTATTCTCAGAAGCTATTTTCTAAAATCAGCCTTAGTAAATTTTACAGAATATATATACATACATAATATATATTATTCTTTCCTATATTGCCTTAAAAATAGAAACATAGAATAGAATATAAGGATGGTATACTTTATGGATGAGGGGGAGAAAGAACAGTCTATAAAGTACTTTAATAATGAACCCAAGGACCTGAGGTTTATTCCAGTAAATGAAGGGTAAACAGCTGAACATGATAATACGAGCTTGTAATCACTCTACTGGGGAGATGGACCTATGTACATCGGTGTGGCTAGTTTGCTAGACATTGTAGTCTTTTTGGTCTTTCTAACGAGGGTAGATGGTGTCTGAGGAACATTTCTGAAGTTATTCTGTAGCCTCTACATAAATCTACATATGTACACATGAGAGGAAGAGAGACAGAGATAGAATTAGATGGAGACAGAAAGTGACAGACACAGATACAAGAAGACAGAGAGGTTGAAATACACACACACACACACACACACACACACACACACACACACACACATACACACACACACACTGACAAACACAAAATGTAGATTTCTATGCAAGAAGTATTCCAGTGATGTGAAAATACAAACCTATACACCTATAACTAGTGTCCAGATACTTAGAATCAAAGATATTCATTCATTTTTCAAGTACCATATTCCCATTTATCTTTCTTGTCAATATAGTAACTGAATTGATTTAAGATAATCATACTTTCCTTATGGAACAAAGTAGAGATTTAAGCTATCAACTATAATGAGAATAGTGTAAATAAAATGAAGATACACTGAAATACAGTATCAAGATAAAACATTAACTTAAGATATGAGGGATTTTCTCACACAGAGAGATATCTTGTATTAAAATTTGGGAATATTTTATCTTGGTTGATGATGCCATACATCAAAATGACTTACATTAATATTGAGTTATTTTCCTGATGGGAACTAATATCTACCTTTCCTTTGCAGCCTTAAAGCAAACCTTGTGTAGGCCAAATAGGAGTCCCTGTGTGAGAGAGTAATATACACATTCTTGTATTTATCGCTCCAGCCTTGGTAACACAAACCCTGGAGACTAAATGTTGCTGATCTTTTAAGGCTACAACTTAAGCAATTAAAATTAATTACTTTTGTCTGATGTAATAGTTTTAAGATGACAGATACTTACCTGAGTCTTAAATCCCATGTTTTATGAGGTATTGTATGGTATATAGTATTCTAATGCAGCATATAATGAAAGGCACATTAACTGGTAGATATAAAAATGCATACATTACTTTTCAAATACTGCGAACACACAAGATGCTCTGCAGGAGTTACTAAATATAATTATTAGCTAATGATGCCCATAATTATCCTGGTCTGCTAGTCATCATTAACAGTTCAATCTCCTATCCAATTCCAAATATACCCTGTATTTATCAAACATCTTTTCTCCAAATTTCCTCCCCATAGCCTGCACAAGCACTAGTTACATACAGCCATTTTCTTCAGTACCCAGATTATTTCCTCATAAGGTCTTCCATTCTAACTACATGTTTGAAAACAGTAATAATTTTACAAATAAATAATATTCAATTTTATACACATTTAAAGTCTATTTATACATCATGGGCTCCATGTTTTGATAAATCATGGACTTTTATAATATATGACTGAATTCAGATATTTTTTCAAATACTAATTCCAATCTCTTTCTGCTTATAGCTATATACACACCTTATGGAGCAGGTGGGGACAGAACAGTTTGTAGACTATTTTTCTAGTGATCCTAGGGACATGAAGTTTATTCGAATAACTGAAGGTAAAACAGCTATACATGAAAACATGAGTTTGTAGGCACTGTACTAGGGAGATGGACGTATGTAGACCTGTGCGGCTTGCTTGCTAGCAATCATGGTCTTTTTGATCTTTCAAATCAAGGTAGATGATGTCTGAGTAACATTTCTGAAGTTATCCTTTGGCCTCCACACACATGTGCATATGCATACACGAGGAGAGTGAAATAGACAGAGATGGAATAAGACAGAGGCAGAAATTTTAAGTTGTATCATTTTAATGAATTCCTTCTTTTTAAAGGATTATGTATATCTCCAATGGTATCTGTATTATTTTCTTTCATATAAATGATATGTGAATGCTTGTAGTAGAACCCTGCCTTGCCAGTGAATCTGGCCGCTAACACAAATTTACTGGCAAGGCAAGATGCTACTACAAATACTTTTTTCTGAGGCAAGAATACTACAAACTAAACTATGTTTACATATGTTCATAGATGTCACTATGACATAGTGACTATATGACATAGATATCCTTTAGGGGAATGTTCCTCATTCCCATGGGTACATTGAACATTGCTTGAGAAAGACAATATGGCAACCATGAATGAAATCTAAATTCCAAGATAATAATCATATCATAGAATAGATCTTTTATGGCCACAATAATATAAAAAAGAAATAAATAAAATAATTTTCAGAAATTTTATAAATTTATAGAGATGAACATTTTTTGAAGAAGGCCAATATCAGGTGTGGAAAGATATCACATGGATAGTTAGTTAACTGCAGATTCAGGAATTAGCACTGAAACACAAAACATACTTGGAGATTGAGTGATGGCTTTGTGATGAGCACTTCCCAGAACTCACATGGAAACTACCAAGGATCTGTTACCCATTGACTGGAGGTTATGATGTTTGGGTCATGTTGACATGTGATACACAGATATAAATGCAGGCAAAACAACTATAAATATAATCATAAATGCATCAATAATAAAGAAAACATATAATCCAATATCAGTAGAATAAATGAAATTATAAAATCAGAGTATATGTTGTGATTTAAAATTTTGAAACAAAAGACTAAAAATTTAACAAATGTTTTCCCCCAAAATTAAACATAATTCTGACAACAAAGGTGACAATCTGTGATTTACTAAAGTTACATTAAATGAGGATTAATTTCCCCTGCCTACTTCAAGATCTCAAGAGAATGGGACTAGATTGTCCCAAAGGCATGTGCTCCCAAGGTTGTAACTATCAATATAAGGCAAGTCTCTCAGACAAAATACATGTTACATTTTTTACAATCAGGTGGAAAATTCAAACAAAAGATTTTTTTCTTCCATCCTTTCTTTCTTTTGAATTAGAATCACATTTTTTTAAGGAATAACATGACTCTTACCATTCTCCTGGTTTTGGAGATAGTGTGAATAACAAAGAAGTGGAGTACAAATTTCTGCAGATTTTACAAGGTGCTCATCTAAGCTCCTCCACACAGGTAAAGAAGGACAGATGGTATGTAAGGATAGAAGTGAATGGAAAATCTGAAAAATGTTAGCTGTCTAGCTTTGAAAATGTGTAGACTCACTGAGAAGATAGGATATATAATATTTTAATAGACCAAGAGAGAGGAAAAGCAGGTTTTAAGACAGTTGAGTGGGAAGGGTAGTAAAATGCTTTTGGCTAGAAGGTGAATATGGACACTGGGGCTAGAATTCTACAATCAGGACAGACAGGGTGAAGAGAAGAAGACAAGAAGAAGAGCCACAAAAATAAAGTATGATGGAAAATGTCATGAGGAAAGCCATTTGTTTGTTAAACTAATTGGAGTGGAAGAGCTTATGCTAGAGAAAAAAATAATGAAAGTACAGATTTCCTTTCGAATTGTGAGCCCTGAGAGCAAAGAAACAAGCAGCTTACATAGGGAAAGGTCATAAGGATGATTATTAACATCTATGTGTAGTGTAATAACAGGACTGTACCCCTGGATTGACTGCACTCTATGCAATGCAGGCTTACATGAATTGCAGTGCTTTGCAAAATGAAACATTTGGATTATGTGCAAGTGATAATTAGAGTCCCTAGCTTAATGATAGAGTATCTTAAGATGTTACTTCATTTTACAGGAAATCCCTGAATAATGTAATAATACTTATTTCATTTGGTATTTAGTTAGTTAGCTAGCTAGCTAGTTAGATGTTAGGTGTTTTGTTTCATTCTCAGATAATTGAGGGGCAGAATGAATTTATGAATTGTCTAGAATGAAGAATAGAGAGAGAGATAGAAAATGAAGAAAGGTAAACAAAGAGGTATAGTGGCCTAGAAATATGAAATGTCTGTGAGTCTTCATGAGTTTATTTTAGATGAGAAAATCCCCTTGCATTTGGGTTTCTTCTGCTTCTTTTTGGCAATGGTGTTAAGAATCTCTATTTTCCATCATAAATGCTATGTTTTCCACAGTTTTAGCTCAAGAGTACTTCCTAATATGTCATCGTCTGTGCCTAGATAATGGATCAGTCTGACATAGGAAAGTCTATACATGGGTAGGTGTGTGAGGCTCAGAGGTGTAGATAGGAAGACGTAGGTGGACTTTTATGTGTATGCTAGTGAGAATGTCACATTTTTCTGCCTTCAATCTTAATAAATTCTATAAAGTAGTAAAATACAACATTTTTCTGCTCTGTTTTCAATATTCTATGTACAATGATTAATAAATATATTTAAAGATATATTAATAGAAAAAATAATTATCATGTGTATAGTTTTAAAATGTAATGAGTCCCAGGATAAAGAATAAAGTGAAACAAGACCTAAACAAAGAACTACAAAAAGAATTGTTAAGACTTTGTAAAGGTAAACCAAAAAATGAAGCCCAGAGTAAGATAATATGTAATTATACTAACATCACCCCTATCATTTAGGAACTTACAGTATTTAAAGAAGAAAAATTGGTTGGTTTGAAATAAGTATTCTACAACCTCATTCTATAATCATAAATATAAAAGTCAAGAATTTGCATTTTAACTCAAATTAAAAAGAAATTTCAAACATGGTATTTTCATTAGTGCATGCCCTAATCCTTCTTTAAAATACCTTGTGGTCAATTTATAACAATAGGTTCACAGAAGATGAAAGGTATAATTTTCTTAACTATCCAGGTTTTATAGGTGAATACGTGTCTTGTAAGTGATCTCTTTCTACTAATTTTTCTCATTTTCAGAATTAACCTTGCATATTCTTGCAAATCAATGATGTTACTGTCAGAAAGAAATAATAGTGGGGTCACGTTCACCCTCTTGGGCTTCTCAGATTACCCAGAACTGACAGTCCCTCTCTTCTTGGTGTTTCTCACCATCTACAGCATCACTATGGTAGGAAATATTGGCATGATCCTCATCATCAGGATTAACTCCAAACTGCACACCCCCATGTACTTCTTCCTCAGCCACCTCTCCTTTGTGGACTTCTGTTATTCCTCCATCATTGCTCCAAAGATGTTGGCGAACCTGGTTGCAAAAGACAGAACCATCTCATTTATAGAATGTATAGTACAATACTTTTTATTTTGTGTCTTTGTGGTAACTGAAGCCTTTTTATTAGTTGTTATGGCATATGACCGGTTTGTGGCCATCTGCAACCCTCTGCTCTACACAGTAGTTATGTCCCAGAAACTCTGTGTCACACTGGTGATGGGATCATACGCATGGGGCTTCACATGTTCCTTAACACTAACGTGTTCTGTTGTACAATTATCTTTTTATGGAGTCAATAGAATTGACCATTTCTTCTGTGAATTCTCCTCACTGGTAGTCCTTTCTTCCTCTGATACTCACATTAGTGAATTGTTGCTCTTCATTTTTGCCACATTTAATGCTGTCAGCACACTCATCATCATCATTTTGTCTTACCTGCTCATTGTTGTTACTGTCCTCAAGATGCATTCAGCCAGTGGGCTTCGTAAGGCATTCTCCACTTGTGCATCCCACCTGACAGCCATCACCATTTTCCATGGTACCATTTTATTCCTTTTTTGTGTGCCCAATTCTAAGAACACCAGGCTCACAATCAAAGTGGCCTCTGTGTTTTATACAGTGGTGATCCCCATGCTGAATCCTCTGATCTACAGTCTTAGAAATAAGGATGTCCAAGACACAGTCACCAAGATAGTGAGCATGATACCAAGTGTAAAAGATGATAGACACAATTAAAATTTTCAGACATTTGTAGTCAAATAATTTCTCAATGGGCATCTGTTATTTTGTTTTTTTTGTAAATACATAGTCATCATATATAGTCTTAAAAACACTTTTAAAGTTAGTTGAATTAATATTGTTATGGCTAAATTAATGAGTTGGTCTTGGAGAAACAAAACTTAGTTCTTTTAGCTTCTGAAGAAAAATCAATGATTATGTTATCACTTAATTCCAAAACGTTCACATGAAATTGTTCAAAACACAATTTCTCAGATTACACAATGATTTGTTTGTTGTCTAAAAATACATGTACAATCCAATAAATAGTATTCCATATTCTATTCTTGTCATATATTTAGGATACAGGAACACCTTAAAAAGAGAATGTTTTCATTCTCACATAAAATGGAAATATTTGGGAATATGAGAAATAGTACTTGCCTTTAAAAATATAGACATCTAATAGTGTGGCAAGAATGAATGTGACTATCCCATAATACAGAAAATAATGGCTTCCATAGAGATTTTTGAAGAAGGAATGTTGTAATTGACTAAGGAATGATAGGATGTTTTCACAAAAATATGTATGCTTACAAATTCATTTCAGAGTGGTGAATATTTGCATTTTGTATATAACTTTCATTGAGGAATTGATTTTACTCAAGAGAAAATCAGGCATATGAGAATATTGTTATTATATCACTAATAAATACAGCTTTGAGAGCTAATGTAATCTTCTTGAGGTAAAATTATATGTGTGCATGTACTTGGCAATAATTGCCATTTAAATAACTTATTCTCAGTATATTTTAGTGGATATCTAGTAAGATTCAAACGAAATGTAAAAGTAATTAATTGGGTTATAGATATCTGACATTCTAAATCAGAGTTTATGTAGTCATGTGCACCTTTCAATTTATACTGATATTGTTAGAAGATGTAAGAAGCAGGAAACAGAAGATGTTTCCCAAATGTTAGAAAAGTAGCCACAATTAATTGCTGGGGAGAAGGGATTCTCTGAGAGACCAATTTTTCTTCAAGTCATGCAAGGATCAAATGTCTAGATTGTCATCTTCCACAGTACCATTTTATTCTTCTGTGTGCCTAACTCTAAGGAATCCAGGTTCATGACCAAAGTGGGTCCTATATTTGACAAACTGCTGATTCCCATGATGAAACCTCCATGTCTACAAAGACTTCATTGATGCTCTCTCCTGTACAGGAGAGCTTTACAGTGACATGAGTAGCTCTAAGTTCATTCCACAGCCGTGGTCCTCTAAGTAACCTCAATAAGCTCATTAAACTTGAGATGAGTGATGTCATTACTTTTGTCTGCCCTTAGTGCTTTTGCTTTGATGAATACATGTTTACTCACTGTTTTCAGGAAACAAAATGAAACAATATAGTTTTTTATCATAGTAAAGATGGCCATATTTTATACAAAAAATCTATAAAGGTGTCTTTCTGCTTTAGAATCCCTAATAATTCAGTGAACCACAAAAGAGATGAGTTTCATAGTCTCATTTTCATACTGATATATAAAATATTTTCTATGCCTTGTTATTTTCTTTGGGAATATCTGAACAATCAGAACATGTTTGAAGTCAACCTTCTGTATAATATTCGTTCACAGTAAGCATGGGATACATATCAACATAATATCTTAAATCTCTCACAAACCAGATAAATAATCCAGAAACTCAAAATAGTAGGAGGGAATAAAAAAAATAATCCATTCAGAATAGAAAATAATTTTTAAAAAGAGAAAATAGAAAACCCCTCTCAATAGTATTCCCAAATGCTATAGATTCAACTCACATTTTTAAAATTTAAAATAGATTCTTCTCACATAAAATGCATCCTGACAGTAGTGTTCCCTCTATCCACTTCTCCCAATACCCCCGTACCATGTCTAAAAAAATACCCAAAGTACTCCATCCTAAAATAGAGACACTTGCACAAAGCATGTTTATTGCTGCAATGCTCTCAACAAAAGCAAAAGTCGGTGTAGATGTCAACATCTAAACTGTGTGCCATGACCTGTGACACACAAAGAGAATGAAATTTCACTATTCATTAAGAATCAAATTATGTTCTTTGTAAGAAGATGGATACAACTAATGATCATGTTAGTAAAACACATCAGAGTAATCAATAAAAAAATTGAATTTTCCCATCTAATATGCAAGTCCTGGATTTCTGTATTTATATTTGTGCATATATATTGGATTGAATTTCATGAAACTAAAAAAAAAAGGGCTATACTACAGGATGAAGTAATTTCAATTAGGCAGGGAGAGAATCAAATGAGGAGAATGGAATACACACTACATAAAAGTGAAAGGGGGTACATTACTGAAAAGAAGTGAATCATTTTATGTAGATCATAGTACACAAAAAAGGTTAAAAGAAAAAACTCAGTAGAGAAAACATATGTCACTTATGAAAAAATGGCAAAACCAACTGCTTTGTATGCTCATTAACAGACTCTAAAATAAAAGATAAAAATAGACTATGAGATTGTCACAGATAAGACATGAAAGGAAATTAGTGGAGCATGTGTGAGTACATCCAAGAGTAAAAAAAAAATATTAAGAAAATTCCCAAGAATTATGAATAGAGGAATATACTACAGAATATAGTTAACAAAGTATCCAAATTGGTTCAATACTCATGGGTAATTTATACAATTACAAACATAAGGGATTAGTAACACAGAAATCATAATAATGAGGGAAGAACAGGTCCAAAATATTCAGTTCTCATTATTAATTAAATCTAAATCTACTCTAAAAAATACACGCTAACATAAAGAAAACCCACAACAAAAATATAATAAAGAGGCAGGTTTATATGATGTTGGTGAGAAATGGGTTTTAAGGAAATACCAATTACTTTTTAAACAATAAGACGAGTCCTATAGTATTTCAAATATGTTTAGATCTAAATTAAGAAGAGACTCCAAAGACCTCTTATGTGGGTCATCTGCTACGATGATGTACATTATAACACCCAGGGCGATCCTCCATAGAAGCTCTTTCATTTTGCTATTGTAGGACTCTGTCATCAATACATAGTTTCATATTATTTCTAATGTCAACCAAAAACAAGTGGGGGTACTATATATCCATCAAATACAATACATCTGATTTCCACATATTACTACACAAATTAAAATTTGAAGAAAAATATTTATTTTCTATAACAATGAACTAATAACACCAAAGAGAAAGAAGAGAGCTACAGACTGCTTTGAACACACAGTTTTGAAATCATCCTTGTATATTTAGGAAAACATCCGATGTGGAATGAGAGGAGGGTCAGTGTCCTGATCTCCCAGTATCACTTCAGCAGCTGTGCTCTTTCCATTGTCATATGTGTTTACAAACCCAAACCACAAATACAGTTTCTTCTAATAGAGATCGCATGTTTTTAGCTGAGGGTAGGATTTACCAGCCCAAGTTTCAGTCACCTCATCTATAAAGGTGACATAGAAATACTGATCTCATTTACTTTGAAAACGTGGGCTATGACAATAATTTTTCTAAGAGTATTACTTGGTATGTAGGGAAGACTCAGGAATATTCATCACTTCTCTCTCTGTTCTTTGGGGAAACTCAGTGGTGACTTCCCACCCTTTAATGTAGCTGTAGGGAGCTGTTGAAATAAGGTAATCTTCTCTTATATCCCCTATTCACATATTAGACAGAGGGAACGCTCAGTAGTAACATACATTGTTCATCAAAAATATGAATTAAATTATGTTATCTCATGATACACTGAATCATACTGATTAAGCTCCCCATTTTATATCTCATTATGCTAGTAATTGACTCTCAAGAGGAAGTAATTTCCTGCTGTCACAATGATTTTCCACAGAGATTGGTGCTTGTTTTCAGAAGCTTAAGATCATAGGCTTAAGTGGATCCACACTCACAAATAAAGACTGTAGCATTTTCCATAGTCGCCACACCAGGAGCAGAGAGTGGCATGGAATGTTCTTTACAGGTTGGTTTGATCTGCATAAATACATTACCATTTGGTGGAACACAGTGAAATAATAGTTTTGTAAGAGATCAAAATGTGAATTAGGTTCTCCATCAGGTAATAATATTATTCTAATATTATGTAAAAAAGTTTTTTTTCATTTTATTCTTTAATTTTTGATTTTTGTTTTCTTTGTCTGAGGCAGAGATTCTCTGTGTAACAGTCCTGGTTCTCCTAGACACACTTGACGGATCTGGCTGGTCTGAAACTTGCAGAGTACTGCCTATCTCTGCCTCGAAAGTGCTGAGATAAAAGGAGGAATTCAGAACTGAAAATGTTTGCTATTTTGTGCTTTATATTTTGCTACAAGAATATGTATTAGTAGATACCATGCTGTGAGAATGCAAGTGAGAGAATATACATCTTCCTTGGTAAGGGATAATTCCATAAGAAATGCTATCAGTTTACTCTGCAGAGAGACATGGTACACCTACTGGTCTGAGGGGGAAATAATGTGAACAAATTGAAGAGTATGTTTGCTTCTTTGTCATTTACTCTCTTTATCACTCATGCTAACTTCACCCAGTATATTGGCAGAGGCTGCATAGAGATGGTGTACGCAGTCAGCCCAACACTGGGAGCAGCAGTAAATAACTGCTACTGATCATGTAGGAACATAGACATATGAACCATGTCTGAAGTAGAAGAGAGAGGGTTTATTTCAGTTTTGAGATGTGATATGTCCCTCTTATGCAGGCTTCACAGTTGTAGGCCCAGGGACAGTTTAGTCTAAATCATGCTTTATTTGTGTAATGTATTTAATGTGAAATTTAAATACAATGGGGAAATCAGCAGTCTTTTCTATTAGGTGACACCAGACTCCCATTTGTGACAGCAGAGAGTGTCCTTGGGCTCTGACACATACCCTCTTGCATCACCATCCTTACTAGCAAACAAGCAGTACTTGGGAGGCAATCAGCAAGATACTTTTTCATCATTTTTCTTGGTAATGGTAATGAATTTTCAAA